TCTCTCTCTCTCTCTCTCTCTCCCTCTCTCTCTCCTCGTGTTTTGCCGTCGCGAACGTATAATTATATCCCAAGGATGACGCATATATTAACGATTCGCTATATTCCGTGGTAGCCCGGCTGGAACACCGTCGCATTACGCCAGTTTATGGTAGGGCAGGATTTCTATCGCTCCGCTAGGTTTGCCAAGATTTCTTAGCGTGTGGTTTTTTGCACCGTGCGTGCACGGGAATATATGCGTTACGCGGAGCGGAAGCGCAATCCGGATAAGTGCGCGATGTACTCGAGTTTCATTATACCGAAATTTCACTACCGCTTTTCGCGCGGTGGAAGGATAACGAAGTGTTTCGTTAGGATACTGTGAGAACGAAGTGCAACGTACAGATTTGTATTCGAACATGAAACACGAAAGATAATCGAGCAATGGCTGCGGAGAACAGATTGAAATAGCTCGGGCAGAAATAATCAGAAGCCGAGGGCGGACATCCGAAGTATGTCATTTCACACGGTGATGACGTGAATTGCATAAGATTCAGTTTAAAGTGTCGACTGCGGCGACAGAGCAACTTTTATAACTTTCGAGACTGAAAGTTCAGCAGTTGTTAAATGCCTCCCTGGCACTCGGCGAAACTTTTGGAGTGTCGGCCCCCGTAAGTTTCTACGTTGCATTAACCGCGCGTCTTGTTCCTTGGACGTGTATTCATCTGTAAACAAGATCTTAGCTATGCATAAAAGATTTTTCATTAGTCAGCTTCCGTATAAATATTGTAATATGGATTCAACGACGTCGTTGAATATGTTAGTTGCGGCAAATATTTAAAGAGTTTTTCGGTTTAACAAAGTTAAACCGTCAATTTTGGTAACAGCTCAATGTATACTTGACACTTTTCGACTATTCTTTTAGTCTTGTTACATTTTTTAATTTATATTCAATAGACACTGTTTCTTTTATTTTCAAGCTAATGATATTTTCAATTTCGAGATGTCATGTTAACGAGCATTCAGAAGCCGTGCTTGGGCGTGTACTTGAACAGCTTCAAAAGTTGAAGTGACACACAATCGCGTCGCGCTGCAATGGCGTGTATGCATGTAAAAGTCAGACCAACACTTTCCGCGAGATAAGGTCATGTCGCGCTGTACAGGTGCGCGACACTTCGTCATTATGCACCTCTTCCTGTATGCCATTATACCTGCGACCTGCGCATCGCGACGGAATCTTTTCTATTCGTACACGCGTGGAGGAGCGTTGACCTGTAACAGCGCGTCTCGTTGATTTCACTTTTCACGTGCGGTGTGCTCGTCGAATATTTACGATGTTAGTTAGTTACGCGTTATCGCGGTAACACCCCCGATATCTGCGATCTCGTAAAGCGAAATACAATTTCCGGGGATGCATTTGTTGCATTGTAACGGAATAACAAGACTTATCTCCTACGAAAGCTTTTGTTCCGATCTACCGAGCGAGTAATATAATTGCATCGGATAGGAAGTTAAAGAAATATTGCGGCTGACGTGAATTTACGTGCATTGACTTCCGTCGTTCTAATTATGTGAATTGTAAAATCGTGTTAAAAAATACTCATACGAAAGAATAAAATATGTGTATTTAAGTGAAGCATTTATATTAGGCATTAGGTATGACAAAATTTTCGTGAGGTTTTACATCCTAGATATATATATTGCCGGGTATAAATATTTTTAAATCTTTTTTAAATTATTTTGTTGAAAAATTCTGTGACACGTCCATGCATCGTTGACAATATTACATGCATGCAGCAGCTCTTCAAAAAGAACTGAAATAAATCCCGCAGCATTTTCAATACTATTCATCTGTGACATTTCTCATTTTTGAAGGATTATTCTCAGGTTTTGAAATATCAGTTATAATTTTCACATATCACACGTAATTATGTGCATGAAACCTTTGAACATATCGTCGTATCAAAATTAATTCTAAAAACTGTTCATATTTATATATACATATATTACGAGAACAATCCACTATCAAACCTATCACGCAGATTGAAAACTCTCATTTGATAGGATAACATTTTTGTTACCGTGTTCGCGTGTTCCTCCGTTGCGGTGTTATTAGCAGATTCGCTCGCGAACTGGATGAAAAAATTGCGAGCAGCATGGAATAATAACGTGCAGCGCAAACAGCAAATTAATTAACGAGTGAGTCGGGAGTTAAAATGTGACGAGATGGATGGTTCGAAAAAAAATTACCTTTTTGCGCGGGAGCGCAACATGGAGCAAATTTAGCAGTGACTACTGCATTTGGCTGGGTATAATAGTTACATTAGCCCGCGCGTGTGGCATTTTACATGCCATTTTATCCATCGAAAACGTGCTGCCAGATTGAATATGTATTTTTCTTTTACTAGCGAATCGCTATTTTATCATGCGGCATCGCGTGATCTGCGCTTTTTCTCGGTTTCACTCGATAATCTCAATTATTAGCTCCTCTGTTTTTCGCATTTGATCGCGCTTGTTATTTGCGGGGTCGATTCGGTGAGCGATATCTGTGTCGGTGATTATAATCGGCAATATTTTTTATACAGCGATACAGTTATATTATATTGATAAAGCACTTGCGAGTATTGCACATCTCCCGCTACGGACTAGTGACTAGAGTATCCGCAAATATAGTTGAAATTCGCGACCGTACGCGCGCGTGCATTTTCCGTTTCCGAATATATTACGAGCTGATCCGATCAATTTCTGTTACATCTGCTTTACATAAATAGATGTGTGGACAGAAATATATGCTTCAGCAGTTAATCCTCTCAAACATTTAAGCCTATGATGTGTTCATCACATCTATTTCCTGTTACAGATATAAATGGTTGTTGTTTGCATTGGATTTTATTTAAGTACCTAACAATAAGAGAGTTCATTAAATGCTTAATAAATATTGAGCTAGAAGTAAATTTTGTGTGTCGCATCTTTATATTTTAAGTTCTTTTCATTGGTTTATTTTTTTTTTTAATATTTGGGCTAAGACTA